AAGTTGAAGGCTGTCAACTCTGAAATCAAGCCAGTGTTGGGCGTAGCAACGGTAGAATTGGAGTTGGGGCCGTGGAAGGGATGGTGCAGCCTCATGGCCAGTCAAATGGACGACTTTGACTTGATCCTTGGCAAGAACTTCATGGTTGCCAACAGGATCTACCCAATTCCGCACTTGGACGGTGTTATAGTGGATGACGACCAAAATCCAGGCTTTATTGCTGTAGTAAGGTTGCCAAAACAAAAGAGCAACCAACGAAAGAATTTGGTGTTGGCGGTACAAATTGAGTCCAGCCTTAGGCATGGCGAAGTGATGTACATTGCCGCGTTAGTCGAAATGAAACCTGACATGTACCAGGAAGTGCCCGATGGCGTGGCTCATGTGTTGGAGGAATTCGTAGACCTCATGCCTGCGGAGTTGTCGAAACGGCTGCCTCCTAGACATGCTGTGGAGCACAGAATTGAGTTGGTTTCAGGGGCCCAACCCCTTGCCCAAGCTCCTTATCGTATGTCCTCGATGGAGTTGGCGGAGTTGCGGTGCCAACTGAACTAACTGTTAGATAGCCAAGCGCTGAGACCATTGAGTGCTCCAGTGCTCCAGCATTATTCCGAAAGAAAGCAAACGAAACATGGAGATTTTACATGGATTATTGTGCCTTGTTCGACAGTCTGGCGAGGGCATGATTCTACACCAAAATTGACTTGAGATCAGGATATCGACAAGTTCAAATGACTCAAGTCTGTGAGGGCAAAATTCGTCATTACTGGCTTGAAGACGACTTACTCTTTGCCAAGAGTAGTAGAGCTTATGTCCCAGCAGGAGGGGAACTTAGGCGACAGGTGCTGAGAGAGACCCATGACACTCCTTGAACTGGTCATCCCGGAGTGGAACGAATACGGGTCTTGTTGTCGCGGAGCTTCTACTGGCCAAAGATGGAAGAAGATATCGAAGCATACGTGAGAACGTGTCTTGTGTGCCAACAAGATAATGTGGAAAGGAAAAAGGAGTCAGGTTTGTTGCAACCTTTGCCAATCCCTGATTGACCATGGCAATCGGTCTCAATGGAGTTCATTTCGGGATTTCCTAAGGTCGATGGTATGGCTTCTGTTTTCATAATTGTAGATAGATTTTCTAAGTATGCTATCTTTATTGGTGCGCCGAAGGCGTGCCCGGCTGATGTTGTCGCTGAGTTGTTTTTCAGAAATGTTTGAAATACTTCAATTTACCCGAAAACATCATAAGTGATAAGGATACCAGATTTACGGGGAGATTCTGGATCGTGTTGTTCGGACTGTTGGGTGGTTCCGAATTTAAGTTCTCTATTGCCGCCCATCCTCAGACCGACGGATAAATGGAGAGGATCAATGCCTTGTTGGAGGAATACCTAAACCATTACGTGACGGCAAGTCTGAAGAATTGGATGAAATTGCTGGATGCCGCGCAATTTTGCTACAATTTGCACAAGTCATCAGCAACGAAATTGAGTCCGTTCGAATTGATAAATGGACAACAACCTCTGACTGCTCATGAAATTGCACTTCAAGGCAGGAGTCGTTGCCCAGCAGTACACCGGTTTGCTCGTGCTAAGCACGAACTGGTGGACGAAGTGAGGGATAGCTTGCCAGTGGAGAAACAATGCATGAAGAAGTTTGCGGACCAACATAGACCCGGACTTGGAATTCCCGGTGGGAGATCAAGTGATGCTGAAACTGACTCCCCAGATTTGGAAGAAAGTAAGCAGCAAGACAGTCCATCGTGGGTTTATTCCGAAGTACGATGGACCGTTCGAAATGATCAAGAAGGTGGGTCATGTAGCCTATCGGTTAAAACTGCTCGACAGACTCAAGATCCACGCGACCTTCCATGTGAGTTTCCTAAAATCCTTCAACCAGGATGAGATGGATGAAGGACGGAGGCAAGCAAAACGTACTCCGCCGGTGATCCGCAAGCAATTCCAGAAAGATGTGGAGGCAATGCTGGATCACAGAACCATGGGGCAGAGCAAAAAGAATAGACGGACAGATTATCTAGTCCAGTGGAAGGGGGAGACCAAGCTGGACGCTACTTGGGAACGGGACGTGACCTTGTGGCAGTTCGAAAATAAAATTGCTGAGTACCTGAGGAACATGCGGAAGCAAGCCAAGTTGACGAGGTCGTCAACCTCTTCAGGTAGAGGTGGTTTGTTAGCCCCTTAGGGCGCAGTCCAGACGGAACACGCGGGCCCGTGACCAAGTTGTGCCAGCCATGGCTTAGGTGGGAAGGCCGAAGGTGAAGCTTGTTGGGAACAAGTGGATCAGTGTTAGATGATATTTTCCTAGCCTAAGTATGAGTTGGAGAAAGTTTTAGAGGCATCAGATGTTTCTAAATTAATTGGGAAAAAAGGGATGCCTTAAGACATATATATAGAGGGATAACTGTGACTAAGTCAAATCAAGACCAAGGGCTAGGGGCTAAGATCACGGAATGACTATGGCTCGGTAGGTTGTTTCGGGTAGTTTCAAGTGTTAGGAACCACGGTGCCTAAGTTGCTAAGTGTTGGGCAAGATTGGACGCGAAACGTTGACGATGGCGGGAAAGCTGGGCGCGCAAAAGTGTGCGGCCGTTGCCGTGCACTCCAAAAAGGAATGTTGGGCAGTTGTTGACCATTGTTGGGAGTTGTTGGCGGTTACCAGCCAACTCAGCTTCGTTCTTAGCGGATTTCTAATTTTGTGGATGTTCAGATAAGATCAGCGGTTGAGTCTCTTGTCCCCCGTAAATGTGCCTATAAATAATGGATTAGACAGAGACTAAAGGGGAAAGAGTCTCAAATAGTGAGAATCATCCTTAGAAGTTCTGCACGCCAGGTGTTTGTAAAAATTCATTGTAATCGTTATTGTGAAATGCAAGGTTAGCCGTGCTGGCTGTAATTTGTACGTGTGTTCCTCTTATTTTGTCTAAATGTTCTACGTTATTGAATACTTGTGTGCAAGTAAGTTTGTAGGTTGACTGGTAGCGTGGCTTACCAGTGCCATTACGTGTGTGATTTGCTAAGGGAAGTAAACACCTCGTGACACATCCCAACATGCAAATCACAAATTTAGCAACATATGTCGGAAATGTTGGAAAATCGAGCGAGGAGAATTTTGAGCCAAAATCAATTCACAACACATGCTGTGGCACATCCACCTGAGTTGAGAACTATGCAGCACCATCGAATTTGGGTACTTCCACGAGGAAGAGGCTGAGAATCGACAAAAGATTCATGACATGTTTGGGACGAAGCAGGTAAGAAAATAAATCAACTATATCCATAACCTGGCTGCCCTATCTTTGGCCACGAGAAAGTGGGATTTTATTTCATTTTTATTCAAGAATCCCGGAACCATCGAATTTGTGATTTCACAAATTACTGAACATTTTGACTCATAATGATCATTTAAGGTGCAAGGAAGTCGTTTTTAACCATTGGTATCAAAGATCAATTACCTCGAATTCATTTAACTTCCTTCCTCTTTTATCTTATTTTTGTACTGTTTTCTTATTCTTTGAAAAAAAAAAATCATAGTCATACAAGTTGCCTCATCTATCAAATCAGCTCATAATGAAATCGTTGGACTGCAAATCCAGTTAAGTTTGGAGATGTTATATTATTATGTTTCTTTTGATGGAATGAATAGGGGCCAGCCGCAGGAAAGAGCCACGTTCCCATGTCCAACTCTCCATCATCTATCTGTTCACTTGCTCTGATAGACATTGTTAGACGTTAGTGTTTGTAAGCTCTCTGTTGTTTTTCTCCATTCTCTCTGTTTCTGTGGTGCTCGTGGAATGTCTCTTGCAATCATATCCCGCTTACATGCATTTGCTATACTGCTATTTCGATGTGAACACGATCAGGATAATGCTGCGCTCTTCTTATCTGCCAAATTCCTAGAAACATTTTATGGGATGCCTAAAGGTGCTTAGGGATTAGTTAGTTTAGAAAAAATTAGGGACCAACTCACCAAAGTGATAGATAGATCGTAGATCTCAATCATAAAGATACCCAAAAAAGAAAAAAAAAAGAAAAAAAAAAAACTGGCAAAGGAAGCTCAAGCTCTATCGGTGAGACATTGACTCAATTACTTTAAAGCAAGAAATTTCACCGCTCCGCTTTCCACAGAATTTGTATACGTACCACATGTTATCGCTACAGTAGTTGTTATTGCCAATCGATGTCGATGGGGGACGAATGGACTCTTCACCTTTGCTTCCACGCCAAGGTTCTTTTCGAGTTGAGGAACTCAAAGTGAGGGAAATGCGGGGGCATGTAGGTGTACCGTCGGTGATGAGGCCCGCTTCCTAGAGACCACATGTTTGCACTGTATTCTCTTCTCTCTGATTGAGCGCGGTCTATAACGCATTTTTGTATAATAAAATTCTGATTCATGAGCAAGATTTTTTAGGTTCAAGCATGAGAATGGATATGTATCGTTTCGCATATGTACCATTTGATTTCCGGTCAGAAATTACTGTTACAATCTGGTTGTCGATGGAGATGACCGGAAATTTTTACGAAAATACATATTGGGTAATCTGATGAACAGGTGAAGATTTTCAATACACAAACACAGGAGCAGATATCAAACACCTAAACTATACCCAAGTTGGTGAGTCGCTGACAACTAGCAAAAAAGCCATCAACTTTAGCAATAATGTCAATGGCCATGGCGTGGTCCAGTGGAACTGGAAAGAAGATGGGATCGAATGGATGAGTTCAAGGATGGATGCGCAGAAAGCAGAGGGTTTTTTTACAGGAAACTCATCAATGACTTTATATAGCTAAGAAGAAGATCAAACATTGGCAAATATATAAACCAAGGGCAATACAGAATTATATAACCTTGATCCATTTAGTTAGTACTTAGTAGTACTAGTATTTAACTATGCTTAATTCACAAAGGCCCCCGCCTCGTGTGAAAAAACATTCTTTGAGGCCGATAGCCTAGAGAACATCAACTCCTCCATTTGGTCAACCAGGCAACATTTTCCAAGGCAACCAGAGCTCCCTTGGAGGGTCATTTCCGTCATTCAGATCCACCCCCAGGACTACAGAGCACAGAGTACAGAAGCCAAGAAATAGATCTCATCTCATGAGGACACCTTTGTAATATACCATAAATCTGAATGGCTTTTTAGGTAGTAAAGTTTGTATATAAACCCCTATGGTCCATTTATTCGATCCACACTTGGATGTTAAATCAATTCGCTTGCTTAGCTGACAAAATTGACCGCCTGCAGCTTCTCTCAACTTTGCAACCACAAACAAGATGGCGATGGCCTTCAAAATGGTGCACCCTCAAATTACCTTCTCTATCGTTCATTCAATTATTGCACACTGATCATCGTTTTCTCTGCATAATTCATCTTCTTTAGTAATTTGTGTTTTAATTTGGCCGGGCTTACATGTACACATATGCACATATATTGAGGCAAGCTGCAGATCAAGCATGTATAGGAGACACAGGCCCAATTATTTATTAGCGTGCAACATCGTGTTTGTCTTGTTGAACATATTATATGCGTGCATGATAGGCTACAACAGGGATGTGGGTAACGGAGGAATGCAAGAACTCGTTCATGGAGATGAAGTGGAAGAAGGTGCACAGATTCATAGTGTTCAAGATCGATGAAGGTTCTAGGTTGGTGACGGTGGACAAGGTGGGTGGACCTGGTGAAGGCTACGAACAACTTGCTGCCTCCCTGCCCAAAGACGACTGCCGTTATGCAGTCTTTGATTTCGACTTTGTCACCGTCGACAATTGCCGGAAGAGCAAGATTTTCTTCATCGCATGGTCCGCCACTACTCCCACCTGCTTATCATTCTAGTAACTGATTTTCTTCTGCTTCTTTTATCTCTGATCAGTGGTTCCCCCCCTGATACCAATCTTTATGCATACATTTATTCCCCTTTTGTCAATATCGCTAGAGACTAGAGCGAATTCAACAAATCTATGGGCCAACTATGCAGAAGTAATCTTTTGTGTTTATTACTAATTAATTAGACAGATCATTTTTGTCTGTTATATTGAGTTGATGTGTTGCAAGTACGTTGATGATCTCGATCAGGTCTCCGGAGGAATCAAGAATTAGAGCAAAAATGCTGTACGCAACTTCAAAAGATGGACTGAGGAGAGTGCTGGATGGGATCCACTACGAAGTTCAGGCAACGGATCCGACCGAGATGGGGATGGACGTCATTCAGGATAGAGTCAAATGAATCATTAAAGATGAACAACTGAATAATTAAAGACGTGTCAAAGTCATGTGTTTTGGCATCTTACTTTACCTAATGACTCCATCCGCCGACCTGAGAGGCCTTTTGTCTGTTCTTTTTCCAAGTGGATCTGGTGATAATTGTAACCTTACTCCTAGCGCTAATCTTGTACTAATTAATAACATTATCCGGTGATAATTTGCTTTTTCAGACGCCACTTTTTTTTCACCGATCGATCGCCTTTAATTTTAGATAGATCCCTCCGTGCTCAGTCCTTAAATCTTTTTTCTAGGGTGGACGCGCAAAGGTTTCTACCAGTCAATCATTCTGCCTTTCAAAGGTTCACGCTCCTTGATTGAGCCTTTTAATGCTGCAAAACAAAGCACTATAGTATATCTTTTGACAGCATCGTTACGTAAGTAAGTAAATACGGTAGTCGGGGTATGGTAAAAAAAATATGCGGGAAAAATAGACTGGAGAAGAAAAGAAGAGGTTAAAGTTGACATTGACCGCAGGTACCAATGATGCTGAAGCGTCGGCATAAAATACCAAACGCCAAGTCCAAATGGCTCAACTCCTTGATAATTGATGATAAAGAACTCGACTATCAAAAAAATCTATGAAAGGTTGTTTGCATCACCGCGTCTTTCACAATTCACAAAGGGTTGAAACTTTCAAAAGAAAGTGTAGATACTTGCTAACTGAATTTTACCAAGTAGTTCAACCCCAAATTTGCGTATCAGAAATTAAAAGCTCTTAAATCATAAATTTGGTATTTTCCATCCTGGACCTACTTACTTTCACATTACTGTGCTCTCTTGCACATCTGTTCAGTTATATATTTATTTTGAATTATATCAGGTCTCCGTCGGTTCTTCCTTCCAGCTGTAAGCCTGTAACCTGTATAGGATTCCCAAGTGTTGCTGTTTTTTTTCTTTTTAACCTGTATCATCAATTTTGTGTACAACAATGATGACTGATATTTTGGTGATTGCACGAGTACCAAGCTGGAATAGCAATCTATCACTTCATTCTTGATGCTTCCTACAAAAGCAGGCCTACTGCAACAACCAACTCAATGATGTTGAAACAAAATTAAGACTACTGGAAAATATACGAACATTATTGTTACTTAGATACTCGAGCCTTTTTATGGTGACTAATAAATGTTTTAGATTCTAATGGTGGTTCTATGCCCCATAAATTTAATTGTTTGAAGCTGTGCACCATAAAATGTGTAGTGCATATGCATAGGCAGTGTAACTAAGTTTTGTTATTTGTGTTGAATCCAAATTTTTCCATAATCTGAAAACTCAGAATTGTATAAGCTTCTCATTCCACATCGAAAGATTGTGGAGTAGTTATCCTGAATTTAAGGTCCTCAATAGCACTTTCAATTATCAATTGATTTAATGGTGTTAATTTGTGGGTTTCACTTTAAATTGTATTTTTCAGTAATTTTGATTATTAAAAAAATCAATAAATTTGGAGGACTATACATGAGTCCAGACGGGAGAAAAATATAGCACTGTAGTAGCACTACATCATAAGTAACAATTAATGAAAAGATCTCTCAGGAAACTCAGGCACCGTGTCCGTGGGCGTCGGTTCCTTCGCCCAGTACTAATGGACCGGCAAATGTAGGCCTAGGCCCTTAGTTGTTACTCGGGCGACCTTAGTTGCTCCACGTCCTCCAATGCCTGCAGCTTTTGCTGCTCCAACCTTAAGACCATTACAAGGCTTGGTCCATGGAAGTGACTAAAAGCAGTTCTGGCATCTAGCTCTATTCTCTTTTCCCCTTTCCTCGGATTAAACAAATATTATTTTTTTATTTTTGCTTTGAGCACCCAGTATTCACACCATCAGTGAGTCTAATTCAGATTTGATCTGGGAGTGCCCGCAAAATTCGACTCTTACTCGAGAGGTGAAGGTTTGAACCAGAACTTTTTAAGGCGTCACATGCAGGGGCTTCAGATTCTCTGTCCCCATAATAGTCTCTGTCCCATCTGTCTCTTTGTTGTACAACTGTCACGTGTCTCTATCTTTTTGTTAACCCAAACTCAAATAAATCGATAACTCAAAACTTTTTTTTATTTTCTTTTTAACAGAATTTCATCTCAATATTTTAGTACTTATAATTATTTTTTCTACATTTATAGGTTGAAGTAGGACACAATTTCAGTGGATCAAGTGTCAATGACTTTATAGACCTTAATGTCATTTCCAGACAACCGAGTTCAAGTTTAGTTGCTTGTAATGAAATTTGCGGCTGTCCCATGCCATGTCCCGGTGGTTTTGTTTGTAGATGCACAACAGATGGAAAATCCGACAATCTTTAGAAATTTTGAATTATGAATAGGCAAGGGTTTGATATTACAAACCAACATGATAAACCATGGTTATTCAAGTATTAGCAGTGTTTTAGGTGTACTTAGTAAGAGTGGTTGAAATTTTATTACTATTCTTTTATTTTTATCCAGCAGATGATTTTTTGAGAATCAAATTCCAATATCTAACATTCTTGAATTATCGGTTTATTTGAATATCTAAAAAGTTTTGAGTTATCGATTTATTTGAATTTGGGTTAACAAAACTTGTAAACCGATTATTATCGATTTATTTGAGTTTGGGTTAACAAAAGGATAGAGACACATGACAGTTGTACAACAAAGGGTCAGATACTATTTTGGGGACAGAGAATCTGAAGCCCACATGCAGGAATCCAATTTGCGATTTCCCATTAGTATTAGCAACCTTCTTACCAACTGCTCCAAGATCATGATTTTTTTTTCTTTTCATAGAGGTACGTTTTAGAGTTGCAAATGGTTAAATTGGAAAAATATGTTCCTTGATATATAGATTTCGAAACAAGTACAATGCATTTAGCTCAATTATGGTATATATATATATATATATATTTTTTTTTTTTTTTCAAAAGTCGAAGTAATTAAAACTACTTGAAAAGGTTCAATCCCTATTATTATATTGACCGTCTTATATTTGCAAGTGTTTGAGCACTAAGAGACTTGAATAAATGTAAAATGATCTATTGTTTTTCTTTTATGTAGAAAACAAAGTAAATTTTATTACTCACATTTTTAGAAATCATCCAACATTAATTGCTTTTCAAAATTTGGAGGTGAGCTAAGTATGGAGTCCACTGAAGAACCTTATTTAACATAGTGTTCTAACTCATGTGCTACTCTGTTGTTTTTTTTAGTACAATATTATTACAATTGATCCTATACTAGGGGAAAGGAAGGGGAATGAATCTATTTAATCTATTGAGATATTCGAAAGTAGTTAAATAACTTTTGGCAATACTCAAAAAACTCTAGAGAAAAAACACAGTCAAGGAGGATCAACCCTAACCTACGCTTAGGGAGGGACTTAGTCCCTCCTCTAGTGGCCAATTACTTAGTTTGTTACTCTATTACAATTTCTTGGAGCTCAATTGACATCAATAATTTGAGTGTCTAGTGTGGACGCTCACCTTGGCTTTCTCAACTTAACTCATCACCGAGATGACTCAATCCAACACATTTTAGGTCGAGGTGATCACCTCGACTATCTTGGTGTTTATCCTCATCTTTGTCCTCCCGATGTGAGGCCACCTCATTCGATTGGACCTGTCTAGTTATTCGGCATCTGATACCTACAAGCAAAAGCTAACTATTATTAGACAGATTGATATGACTATCACCGCTGTTATACCCAGACCTATGTCTGACACCACCGTCATAGGCTGACTCCTTGTAGGTAACAAGGAGTAGGTTCCATCATTCCTCTTATCAGTTATTTTACTATAAATACTCCCCTCCCTTTGTGAGGAGAGCGATAAGATTTTTAGGTTTAATTTCTCTCTTGTTCATAACTCTAGTCCAACTAGTGTTGCTTTTATTCTTGATCTTTTGCATAACTGGTTTTAGCATCGAAGCTAGATCGAGGACAAAGTATCGATTGTGTCTCTACCTTGATAGGTGTGCTTGTGCCGTAGACTCGATTTATCAGTCTAGAAATCACCTGGTCATCTAGCATTGCCGCCTTTCTATTTTCATCTACTACTGGACCTATGGATGACAAATCTTCCTCGTCAAAGAGCAAAAGCTTTATTATAATCGAGAGAGAGTCCCCTTCAGCCGTGAAAAACGAAAACAGAAGTAGCTTAGCTAAGATGATGATGACCTGTTGTTAAGAATTACGGAAGAAAGCTTGGTCAGTGATCGGTGGCGAAATTGATGGAAGTGTCCCACTCGCCAACTCCAACTACTCCTACACGTGTCCGTTCTTTTTCGTGTATGTGTGTGTGTGTGCGGGGGTGGTCATTACAAGCCGAAACATGACAAACTCATGTTTTTGGTTACCACACATGATTACTTGCGTACTTAGAGCCATGGATGCATATGTATCCATATACTGCACAGTTCTTGGGAAACTATCACGTACTACTAAATCTTTATTGGTTGGTTGCTAAACCCCCCACAAAAAAAAAAAAAAAATCCTGAATCGCAGGTTTGCAAAAGTGCAAAAGAAATTGATTATTTTTTCGACCACTAAAAAATGGAGAAGCATCACAATGAATTTAAAAACGCAACTGATGTGAACCTCTTTAAGGGAATGGAGTATCCTATGGATGATTGCCGTCACGCACCGTTTCATTCTTTTGTTTACAATTTACAATCTGCAGTTTGGTTTCGTTTTCGTGCAACAGCAGTAGCATGCGAAGGAGCAAGGAATCCATAATTGTATGAGCCACCTTCCTGTGACTCTAGTAAGTAACTGGTAAGGCCGACAGTCTCCCATCCCATCCGACGGTTATCAAATCAAGATCCTCCTCCTATTAACTACCTGAAACGATGGAAATCAAGTCGACCCAATCCTCCAACTTCAACCATATACAGTACCATATACTACTTCCTTGTTGCTTTTCGAGTTCAATTCACTTGTCATCAAATTGGGTTTACATTTAACTTTGGGACCTCAATTAGCAGAGCAGTACTATAAAATAAAAAAGTTTACTAGTCAGAGATGCATCCAACTCGATCGGGCTGCCCTTTAACTTTTTAGAGCAGTTTGGCACGGAAATCAAATTGCAGCAGTTTGGCGCCCTTTCTTTCTTTCTGCAACAACCTTGAGCGTGAAGGAAGCCATGATTGAGGGGGGGGCCAACAGTTTTGACGGTCTAGATTTAGATGAGCAAGCATCTGGCTTTTCTCC